GGGTTCTGTAAAATTGACTTCATTTGAGAAGAGCAAGATTGTAATAGAAATTGAAGCTAACCTCTATCCCATCCCATCCCCATAACTCTCTTGAGTGAAGATGATGGATTTAGAACACGAAGATCAAGACAGAGGAGACCAAAGCCAACATGGTGGCACCAAAGCTGGGGGCTAAAGGGTGGCAGAGGCGCAACAGCGAAGGGTGGAGTCCATTCACTGGCTTTTGGATAGGTGTGAGGGTGGATCGAAAAGCTGAAGATTGAAGTGTTAAAAGAGATATAAGTTTGGATTCTAGAGAGAGTTGCCCGATGGAATTGATTCTTGGAGTTTTGATGGAGTTGGAATCCATATAGGCTCTCTATTCCTATTACCAAATTCTCCAAAATAAGATTCCTATTCTATTTACATTTCCTTCTTATGAGTCCCCCTATACCAAACATGTCTAAATGAAGGCAGGCCTATGATCCAATTTTATATTCACATTTTATATGGACGAGAGGTTTTTCCCACTTTTCTCTTTCCTTGTATGAGTGGTTCAATTACCAAACAAATAAGGATGAGTTGTGATATATGAAAGAGTACTCTTTTTCTAGAAAGAAAATGAAAAATAAATTTAGGAATAAAATGGAGAGGGTATGTTTCTCATTTTCTTTCAAGAGAACATTGTCTAACTATTAAACATTGCATAAATGAACGGGAACTTTGATCCAATTCTATACTTAACCTTTTATTGGGATGAGAGGTTTTTCCCACTTTTCTCTTCCTCCATATGAATGGTTCAATACCAAATAAATAAGTGCATGTTGTAATACATGAAAGAGTGCTTCTAAAGAGAAAATTGAGAAATCTATCTTTCTAAAGAACAATTTTCTACTTATTAAACATTGCATAAGGGTAAATAGTCTTCTACTCCCTTGAGTGCCCGATTTATCTGGCCCTTCTCTTGTTTATGAAAAATCACATTATATTCCCTCAAAGTTGGGATAAAATCTATGAAATAAAAACCTCCATTTTGGTACCTTCACCGATGCGGTATTTTATCAGTTTGATCGCTGATAAATTTGTCTTGATTAAAATCATAGTTAAACCGTGATTAAATTGATTATGATAAATCATTTTAATAAACCAGTCAATATATAATTAATGATTTATTGATTCAACTGAACAAATGAATGAAATGATAGATTATAAGAATAGTGGATGAATGAAATAAAATCGAAATCAAAGTTGATGCCGTGTTCGTGTTCATCATTAATCGTTTTTTCTGGCCATTCTTTGTTTCTTTTTCCTGGGACAAGCTTCTTGTTATTAGTTCTCATCTCTTTCGGTCATTTAAAAAGCATTTTTGGATTTTTTTTCTTGACCATACTCTTCATTTATTATTTTTCTTTCTCGATCAAATTGAAAATCAGATCAACACAAATCACCACCAATATTCTTCTCGCCGTGCTGCGTTATCCTGCAGGGTCTTATTTTATGTTCCCCCCTTTTTTAATTCCGGACGTAGTTTCATATTCTTAACTATAATAATAAATATATGTATTTATTCTCAGAAATTTATATGGAACTGAAAAATTCAAAGGATATGCTAAGTGAAAATTTAGCAGCTTCTAACCCCCCGGGGGGGGGGTACTCTTCCTTTAAAAGCTATAAAGTATTTGAATTGAATTATATCACAACCAGTTCAGAAGAAGAAATCTTATAGAATGTTATTCAAAGAAGCAGCAAATCACATATACAGCCATTAGCAGGCTCACTAATGTATACCATATAAAACGTACCCTAGAAGCTATTTAGGGCACAACAAACATCATCAAGCTAAGCCAAATATAATGCATGCAAATTATTATAGGATATTAGGGCATGCATGCAAACCCTAAATACCACAACAACCACAAGCACACAACGTAAGCAATAAGCTTTCATTTCACTCCATAATGATGATATTAAATTATTAATATCATGGAGAATGATAAGTAGGGGCAAGGTTGCCAACTTCAGAGGTACTGTCATGGCCATCATTATTATTATAACCAGAAGCTTTAGGGTTAGGGTTTGTGGTTTTGACATGTTTGAACC